CCTCTCCCCACCAACACAGCGCCACAGTTTCTTTATCAAATTAATTACAGTTGGATGAGAGTTTGAACTTTTTTTAATTCATGGAGATGCAAATTAAGAGTTTACTACTTGAGGCGAGGGTTTGAACCTAAAACCTGTGTGTGGCACCAGGGTCAAATTATGGTTGAATTTAAAAGCATACATTTTCGTCATTGGACCATCCTTGCTCTTTTAAAACTGTTATGTTTGTGTCTCGGGGTACTATTATCTTAATTAGGATGAAACCGCATTGCCTACTTTGGATTGTTTTATTTGATATTACCGTAAGAAATATCCTTTGAAGCAGGTAGCAGTGGTACAATCCTATTAACATGATCCCTGTGAAAATATACTCACCTCACCAAAAAAAGCAAGTCCTCAATGTGAGGTTGAAAGCAAAAAATCAAGCTTTGTTTTCTTTTTTTTTAGAGCACAAATGGTGAAGCTTCTTCTCCAACTCAAAAGAAGCCAGCACCCCCCCTTGGGGTATGTTGTTCCTCAACTGTGTATAGTGGTAACATGTCAAACAAATGTTACAATATCAGGGATCAACGAACACTTTTCATTCCACTAATTTACTCTTGTTTTTCTCATAGCCATGCTCCCACCAATAACGTAGCTCCATTTTCTGCCTTTAAAAGCACACACAACCCACAAATCCTCTATTCGCTCCGACGAAGGGCTAACGCTCAAAACGTCAGCTTTTGTAATCATTACAGTGGCCAATTTGCCATTTCAACTTTGTTGATATATCCAAATTATAAATGTTACAATAGATGATGAATAAAGATATAATGTCCTACATACTTTGTGATGTTGACTGCAGAGTTCATGGTGTACAATACAGCCAATTATAAACAGATCAGTCACTGTTAGACTTATGGGATAATTTTTTATTTTTAGGAAAGAACAGTAAAGCTCACCAAGAGAAAAGTCGGGGGACTGGGAATGAGCATTAAGGTAAGCATGGAGATATAAAAACCTTTTGTTTCTCTGAGTCTCTTTGTTTTTTAATATGTCAGTTTATTAATTACTTTGCTTAAATAGTGATATGGGACACTTGCATCTCATCGTATAAAAACGTATTTTACAGGGAGGACGAGAGAGTAACCTACCAATAGCTATTTCAAAAATATACAAAGATCAAGCAGGTATTAATGTGTTGCTTTGTAACTTTTACATTTTGTTAATGCCCTGAAAATCTCTGTAATTTTGTTTGTTTTGATAAATTTTTCTTCTGTTGTCTTAGCTTATGAAACAAGTCAACTTCATGAAGGGGATATTATACTTGAGGTTTGTAGAGATGAAATATGATTTTTTTCACAAACTTTATCAGTTACCTCAGGAAAACTCTCTTCATTAGTATATTTAGGTCTGACTCTTTGATCTCCTTCATGCTACCTTTGATAGGTGTTTGTTAAATTTGTAAGCTGTTATTCACTTTCTTTACAAAATATCTACTCAGCAATTAGTCAGTTTTTTTTTCTTTTACAGGTTAATGGACAAGACATAAGAAGAGCCACACATGATGAGGCAGTAAGTTCAACCAGTTCAGGCCCTCATTTTAAATTTAATTTACCCTGGCTGTGTTTACATGGTTCCAAAATATTGAGTTTTGACAAACTTTTTTTTTTTTTTTTTTTTCAGGTGGCTGTTCTTAAGAAGGGAGGTTCAGAGATTGAATTAACTGTGATTCACTCTTCTTCTAGTTCTTCAGGTATTCATGATATTGCAGGCAGAGATTTCTTTTAAATTTTGATCTTATTACATGGAAAGAGAGAATATTAAAGATAAGACTTGGGTTGAAAACTAGGCCTGAATATATTCCCATTTTTATAACAAATGTGCTTTTTTGTTTTTTTGAAATGTCAGCGCAGTCCTCAATTTTTGTAGTTTTTTCAGTTCTGTTCAGGTCTATGGTATAATTGCATTGCTACTTTAACCATAACTTAATATTTTTTTCAAATTTAGTTGCTAATAGTGAGATAACAGCAGGGACAACTTCTGAGGCGAGTCAGTCCAGTGTATCTAAACAAGGTATGTCCTATATGCTATGTATAGAGCAGAGGGCTTCCCAGCTTAATTTCATTGGCCTTTGCTTTTTTTCTAAATTCTCCTCTGACTTTGCTCTCTTCTACTCATTTTTTTAGTGAAACTCCTTGCAAATGTACTTTCAACGGAAGTTGTTAGATATCTTATAAGGTGTCTTCAATACTTGTGCATTCTCAGTTGTTAGGTTTTTCTAATCCTATAATTAGTTATTTTTAATTTGGTAATTTTGCAATAATTTGGAGTGGCAATCCAGTATATCTCTAAGTGATAAGTGATCTTTAAGTTGACTAATGTTTGTCTTTCAAAGCAAACGGAATTGTTAGAAGTGTTGAAGAGTCCTCAAGTGATGCTGAATGTAGAGAAAACAGCAGTCAAAAGGTATGATGTGTTTCAGTCATATATGAGAAATATAGAAGATCATTTTTGTTTTAAGGGCTGATAGTTTCTAAAGATCTAAAGAAACTGTTTGGGGCTGTGTTGGTGGGGGTAATGAAATAATATGAAATTATCAACAAAGTTGAAGTGGTAAATTGGCCACCGTAACGATTATAAAAGCTGATGTTTAGAGCGTTAGCCCTTCGTCGGAGCGAATAGGGGAATTGTGGGTTGTGTGTGCTTTTAAAGGCAGAAAAAGGAGCTACGTGATTGGTGGGAACATGGTAATGAGAAAAACACAAATAAATTGGTGGAATGATAAGCGTTCATTGATATCTGTGGGATTTAGACTGCCGGTTTGAAAGATGAGCTTTTGTTCAAGAGTTTTCCAGCTTTCCGTGCTACCTAAGTGTAAGGAAAGACTGCAGATTGCCATGTGTTGCTTAGAAAAGTTTTGTCAACTTTCCAGTATTAATTTGGTGTTTTGCCTTGTTTATTTGAAGTCTTCTGAAGTTGGAGAAACAGATTCTAACTCGTCTCTTCAGAGCTGGACAGATAACATTGTTCTTCCCCTGACATTTGCTTCGGTGTCAAGATACAAGACAGGAGAAGACACATTAAGGTAAAAGTGGAAAGCAAGAGTGTAAAACTAAGTCTGATCTTGTATTCTTTAGCTTACTGCATGGGAGCAGGCCAGTTGGCTTGTTAGCTCAATTGGTAGAGCGCTGCACTAGTATCGCAGAGGTCAGTGGTTCAAATCCCATACAGGCCTGATTTTTTCAGGTCTGATTTTCGCTATTGCATAAATAGCGCTCTCCACTGCGAGGGTTGTGCATCATACGTTATTGTTATTGTTGTTATGTTGTGTAATCATTGTGTTAAGATATGGAAATACATTTTTCTTTCATCCTCTGGAATTCGCTAGAGGTTTGACTGTGATTTTGATCATTTCATTGCCAATTATGATGTGAATTGAAGCTAATTTGACTCCGCTTATAGGCAATATTTACCTGAAGTTCTTGAAGTGCTGGGCAGTGAAATCTGAACATTAGAACAAAGAGCCAAATACTTTCTTGACTAGCACTACCTTAAATCTTTTGAAGGATGTTTTGATCTAGTGGCCAATATTTCTCTCTCTCCCTTTTTAATTTAAGTTTTTTTTCCAGCAGGGCTGTACATGTGGTCTATTGATTTATACTAAGCCTTGCTTGCACCATCATGTTTCCCCTCATATCATTACATGATGAGGCAATTAATCTTTGAATTTCTGTGTTTGTGTTTCAGATGAACTTGTCCAATGCATCTTTACCATCACCTGAGCAAGTAAGACAAACAGAGACCTGTGTAGATAATCTTTACAATAGAATCAGCATAAATCCTTTTTGCCACTTAACCAAATGGATATCAAAACTTTCATAGCATTTGCCATCATTGCTGAAATTTTAAATAAGTTCTGTAGCAGAGATTTGTGGCCAATGGTTACTGTACTGAACTGCAGGTCAAGAAGTTTGGTTTTGAGACCCAGCAGGGTCATCATGTTTTGTTCTTGGGTAAGATGCTTTACTGTGACTCACTGTTCCTCTCTCCACCTAGGACTGAGTAGAAATGGGTACAGGGTAACAGCCAAGGAAAGCTGACGGCATGCTAGGAAGGGGGGGTAGGGAAGTAACCCATGGTAGATTCTCATTGCATCTAGGGAAGTGTTATTACTCCTGGCTACTTCAAGCCATAGAAACAGGGAGGAGTTTTGACAGCGGTGTGGGCCGCTTGGCTGAACAGCTGATATCACCTACCCACATGAACTACACATTTAAATGAACTTGTAAACTGAGGAGAATGAATCTAGTTTTAGCACTGAGGATTATCTCTTTGTTTTTAACAAAGGTGATACACATGGGTTGGATATGGGAAAGACTGAGGTCTACAAATCACTGGAACGTCTGGAAGAGAAAGTTTTTAACAGTTAAAGGCTCAGAACTCCAAGTATTTGAAATGCCCCCCGTAAGTATGCGATGCATTAACTGAGGAATACCTTGAATAATTAATATTTATTCATTACTTAAGAATTCTCTTTTATACAACAGTTCTTTTAATATGCAGGGTCCTGAAATTGTTTTGATTGAACATGGAAATCATTATGATCCCAATTTAAGTGGGGGCTTAAGTCAGTGGCATTATCCATGTTTGAATATTATCCAAGTTTATGTACTTTCCATTGGAATCTTATCTGTCTTGCACCATCCTCTACACCACAGGTCGCTACAAGAGACTGGCTCAAAAGTGAAGTATCCCACAACTTGATGGAATTAGTTTGTCATATATGTAAGGTATGGGAACTTCAGAAATTATCTCAATTCTCTGGTAATTTTTTATTCTTGACTAATCTATCATTGCTAGAATCAAATTTGTAAATGAGTTTGTTTTTATTTTAGGAGGATGAACAACTGGACAAGAGAGAACACTGTTTTACTGTCCAGTCATACTCTGGTGTCAGTCATTATCTTGCAGTTGGTGAGTTTGCTATTTCAATTGAAATATTGAACTCCTTCCTTTCTTATGACAAGGAAATAAAATAATGAAACTTATGTTAAATCAACAAAGGTTATAGTATAGTTGCAGATGTCTGCAGTGTCCTCAAAGATACTACTCATTCTCAAGAAGGTTTTAGTATTGGTGGTTGAAACAAAATATGAGCTGATTATAAGAAAAGTGTGGAGAATTTTAATTTGCAGAATTTCATCGTTTGCCTACATTTTTTTAATGAAATAGTCTAAGCATATTGTAGTATGATTGTTTACTATGAAACACATAAAACTGCAAACACAGGTAATATTTCTGGAATGTGATTAAGTCACAGAAAAATTAGCCAAAAAGGTGTGAGAAATCTTAGATGTACATATCAAAGCCAATTTATTTATGATTTTGTGGTGTGCTCTCATATGATTTGCATACAACAGACACAGAAGCAGATATGACAGAGATTGTCAACCGTGTACAGGAGGCCACTCATCAAGCTGTTGTACAGATTGAGGTTTGATATATTTTACATATTTCATTTATGTCGTCACTTTAATCACACTTTTAAGTATGTTTTTGCTCTGCTGTTACAATTCAACTTTGTCAAAATAACTCTGGCCTCATTGCTTTATTGTTATTTTTAGTCTCGATCATTCCCAGGAAAGTGGCGTGGACAGAGTGTGAAGCTTGTGTTTGACCTGAAAAGAGGCCTGCGACTGTACAGTGGAACAGATCGGGTTTGTACTTATTTCTGAGAGTACTTTTAAGAGGTAGGGTAGCAATGAAAGTTGTTTGCTCATCCTGACTTACAGAGGTTTTATTTTATTTTGTTTTTTTTTGTTAGTCTCTTCTGTGGCAGTACCGCTTCTCGTTTCTTCGTGGCTCTTCAGATGATGGAGCTCGAAAGATTGTTTTGCTGTTTTCTCAGTCACCTGCTGGTCCCTTTGATCGACAGGTGAGTCATTCAGTTACAAATGGCATCCTCACTTAAAATTTTTATGAACTTGTTACAATAAATTACATCATGTGTACTATGAATTCACTAAAAGAATGTTATTGTGTTTCATAGAAAAAGTTAAGTAAGTGTCAGAAATCTAAACTGCAAACAACAGTGATAAGTTTTTGTTTTGAACTTTGTTTGTCTCTTGAACTTTCTTTTGATTGTTCAGTATACAATTTTATTACACGACTTGGGCAGTCAGAGGGCCAATAACTAAAATCAACCAATCAAAATGCTCTATTGCCAGTCAATATTCTCTCAGTACTGGACCGGGCACTGTCCCGAATGGTCCCGAATGATACCACACTTGTGTCCCTTTGAACTTCAGTTGTATAATAAATCTCTCATTAACCAAGTTTGCTTGGGACTGTACTGAAAGAATATTGGCCCTTGGTCTTTTTTTTGTACGAACCGAGCGCAGCGAGATCTGTACTGTCAAGAACTCTGGCCAATATTCTCCCAGTACAGCCCTCGCGCTTGGTTAGTAAGATATATAGAATGTCATTGTCATAGATTCTTGTACAGTACAACTTCTCAGCTTGTCAATAATTATGATTTTATGTTTCTATTGTGTCCTTTCATCTTTGGTCGTCTTAAATTTCTTTACAAAATTGTTGATTATAGAGATGTTTGTTTAACCAGACGTTTATTTCTTATTACATTTCAGGAATTGGAGTTCACTAATATGCAGCAGGTTTTGACAGTGATGCATGCATTCTATGCTGCCAAAGTTGCACAAGTTGATCCAAACTTCTCTTTTGAAAACAGTGTTTGAGTGACATGCTCTCCAGAGATGAATTCCAAAAAAATTACACTTCAGTATATTGATGGCTCAATTTTGTGACAAGAACTGACTTTGTTCCTAGCATATTATCACTTTAGAAAATGACAAAGACTATTTTAATTTAGTACCATTTTCATCAGCTTAGGAACCTAATCTTCCTTGTTTTTGGATGGGGTAGACAAATGTAAGCTGTACCTTGCTACTGTTTAAATATCTATACTGTCAAATATCTATACTGTCAAATATCTATACTGTCAAATATCTATACTGTCAAATATCTATACTGTCAAATATCTATACTGTCAAAGTCTCTGCAAACCCCCATTAGAAGGAATTTAGGTAGTGTTAATTATTTTCAAGCCTTTTAAACCCAGGAAGGCAAATTTATCTGCAAAGCTTTTTTTTATTTATTTTAGATTAATTTAAACCCTGTGGATTGATAATTCCAATTAAATTTTTGTTATTGTTATCTTGTGATTATTATGTTATGTTTGGGAGCCTTTATGACAATTTAGAATCACTCAAGCTTAATGTCCAAGCTAATAAGATCACTCTGTATTTTTCTACAATTAAATTTTCACTTTTACATGAAGATTACTTAAAACAAAGTTACCTGCATTGTGTAAAAAGCAACTAGAATCAAATTATTCATTACTGGTCAGAGAAAACATAAGGTGAGTGAAAAAATAACAAACATGTTACTTTACCAGCAAGTTTAGAGCTATTGAACTTAAAGAGATAAAATAGTTTGAATGATGTCACAGTAATTTTCCATAAAGATCTAATAACTTGCTCAGAGGGAAAACATTCAATTTATTCCTGGGTATGTGACAGGATCAATCATAACTGGAGACCCTGTTGATATTGCCAGTTTGGATTAATCTTGTCAAATTGTGATAACATTCTGTTTATGAGTAAAATCTTCTTCACTCATCAGATGTTTCAGGCAGGTGTGTTCTGTTGTGATGTTAAGACAATGTTTTGGGGAATTAATGAGCACTGACTAATATTAAAATGTGATTGGTTTATTGATATTAACAATTATATTCTAGTAAAAAGTATTTACAAGGAATTTATTTCAAAATTTATGTAAATAAATATATCAAATACAATAAAGTATGTTTTTCATAAAGCTATTATTTGGTGCAAATAGTAATCAGTTATGTAGATGTGCACGATCCTTTGCAGTAAAGCACTATTTAAGCAATAGTGAAAAATCAGACCTGAAAAAAATTCAGGCCTGTATGGGATTCGAACCACTGACCTCTGCGATACTAGTGCAGTGCTCTACCAATTGAGCTAACAAGCCAACTGGGAGCAGGCCATCAAATTAAGTAATCAGTTATGACTTCTTTATTGGTTGTGACTGATAAATTCACCTTTCAAAACAGAGGTTATCTCTCCTCCCTCCCCTCTGCTTTGAACTCAAATTGAAATGAAAGAGTTGTTTATGGCCTATACCCTGACCAAACAAATAGGATCTTGGAGCACTTAAGATCAATGAACAAGGAAGCTTTAGAACAATTTCCTACATTCATACCTCATCAAAATATTATAAATTATTGTTTAAATATTCAGAGGGGATTTAAACAAAAGAATTTTGTTGATGACCTTTTGGAATCGTGTCTGGTGAATGACCCAAACCGGGTTTTCTAGCTCACTAACAAAATTCCACTGTTTCAATATTCAGAGGGGATTTAAACAAAAGAATTTTGTTAATGACCTTTTGGCATCGTTTCTGGTGAATGACCCAAACTGGGTTTTCTGGCTCACTAACAAAATTCCACTGTTTCAATATTCAGAGGGGATTTTCTCCGCCCTCAGAAGAGGTATGGCCTCAAAACTTTTATAGCATGCACAGTTAATCATGCTCTATCTAACGTATGGATAATTCATTGACAAGATACTGATTCATGATTAACAAAATTCTATTGTTTCAATATTTAGAGGGTATTTTCTTCACCCATAGAAGAGGTATGGCTTTGAAACTTTTGCAGGATGCATATTTAATCACATTTCTAAAGCGTCAAGGTTATTTCACAAATTTCTTTTTGTAGCAGAGATGCACACATAAGAATATTGAGAGAAAATAATTTTGATTATGAGTGTCGTGTCAGGTGCACAAGAGGTTTTAACAGCCCACAGAATAGGTGCGATTTGGACATTTGCATGCAATTGATAGCTTACAGTTCGAAGCTTTTTTGTTCAGTGGGTGTCTTCAATGTTTCACAAAAGGGTAATGATGAAAGGTGAAATCATACTCTGGTCACACTTTGGTGTAGGGTCAAATACAACACAAGCCACAACATACTATAGACCAGGGTTTTTTTTTTGTTTAATACTAAATTCCTTTTGGCGGTTTCGCAAAGTAAAAACAATTCATTGCAATTTCATAAAAAGCTTACACTAACTACTTGCTTAGAGCAATGCTTGTTAAACTATTGTTCTTTCTTGAGGTATTTGAAGGAAAAATTTTAAACCTTCCATAACATTCTTATTCATTTCAAACTCCTTGGCAAATCATTTTGCATCACACCTAGGTCTAATGACATGCAATTCACAATTGAATTTTTTTTCCAATGTCTTCAAGAGTTGGTATGAAACTATTGTGATTTTTTTTTAATTCATATCAAGAATTTACAATCCATTTCTTATAAATTAAAAATTTGGATCATTATTCTATATGTGTTTCACACCTACTTTGATGACAGAATTAGATATTTCAAGTTGCCCAATACTTTCTTCCTAATAATTTTTTCCTTCCTTTGCCTGACTTTTTCCAAGCAACATGGAGGTAATAGAAAATAATATTGCTCACCCTACACAAAAAATTGCAAACAATAAATATTTTACTTAAGAGAGAAATTTGAAATTTGCATCCACTCAATATATTCCTAACCTACCTAAATTATATACAATGTCATAATAATTTGCCTCAACCTTCTAGCTCTAAAGATCTGGTAATCAATTCTCCCCTCAAGTTCCTACACATTTCTTGTGAATTAGTTTTGAGAATTTGGTGTTAGATCAAGATAACACCTTCCAGCTGGTAAGTTTGAGTATTCTCAGAGCCTATTTGTAGGATATTGTATGGATGTTATGGGGGAAAAGTTACATGTTTTAAATCCCTTCTTAATTATTTTTCATCTCACCCCTTAAAAATTACGTATGGAACTAATCCACTGATTTCATGATCAGATTTCAAATGACCTGCCAGTAAATCAACCATTAATTTTTTTCTCAAATGCAGTTAAAGCCCAAGTATGGATGCTGCCTCTTTGAATATTTCTTGGCAATATTATGCTCATCTGGGAAGTAAAACATTGAATTTCAGTAGGATCGGTTTGAACAAGAAGTTATACAAAGTGGCATTGTCACTCAAATAGTGATTTTCCTGAAATAATCAGTACAAAATACAAAGGCTATTGGAACTGTGCCTTGTAGTCTTATATGTATGGCCACCTTACGTTTTTTTTTTTTTCAAGATGGCAGGGTTCATAGTCAGATTTTCAGCACATGTGGAGGCAGTTTTGAAATGCTGAGGTTACTTTTCAGAATTCCAATACCCAGTTAGTGGTAAATTATTCTACAGATATTTCAACAGTGGCATTTAAAATCGTATGACTTCTGGAACCTAATTATCTTTAAACAGCAGGTCAGCAAAAAAAGACTCAAAACTTCACAGAAAATATCTCATTTTCTTATAGCTGTTTTAGGATTACTAGATAAATAGTCCCTCCCTAAATTTACCAGTATTTCCTTCTGTATGCCTGTTTGAGTTTCTTTATGACCCATAATACTTCTAACCAAAGAGAAATATTTGTTACTGTCAGTGACAGAAATGCTACCTCCGCTTAATGCTTGTTGCTGCTCTGCTCCTAGAAGGAAAATAACAATTTAAAAGATAAATACAAGCTCTGAAATCTGAGACACAAGTTCACTACAATCTAATTATTGGCTGTCAAATGTCAAATCTGAATACCGAAAAAACAACACAACATCCTGTCCCCACCCACCCCTCCTTGGGTACAAAGTTTGTCATAAGATCTTTATGGTCATGGAGATCTGTGTAACAGGAATACACGCACTTTAGGTCTCAAATGAAGTTATCATAACTGCTGTTGTAATGGTAATACCAGATTTTTCGACAAGATGGTTCCTTATTTTTTTGTTTTTTGTTTTTGCTAACACCCATAGGCCTTTATCAGAAGCATGTCTCAAAATGCTGACCAACCTCTGGTTTTTCAAGAGTTTCATAGTCTTTTTCATCATCGGTGCTGGTACTAAAAGTGAACAGGAACAGTGTGGTAATTCAGCATTCATTGATAATAATCACTAAAATTCTAATATGTGATTACAATCATGTATTTTTGTTGATTAATTATGGCGATTTTAACTATTGCAATTTCATGTTATTACTTCATTAAAAGTGATCTCATTGTTACAGACACATACATGTATGCTTTTTGGCTGGTGAAGCACTGTGGTTTCTTTGGTGACCCTGTGGAGCCCTTGCTATGGGAGAGGCCATTTGTTTGCCAGCATGATTTCCTGAGCCAGTCCCAAATCTAGCCTGCTTTCTTAGGACATCACGAGGAGGCTTGGCTTCTGATTCAACATAGGCAAGTTTGATCTGCCGTTCTGCAAAGAAAGACAAATTTTCTAGAGTCGACCTGCACCCTTAAAAAGCCAAGGGAAAGCATACTGAGTACTGAATAATACTTCAAGTGTATGAATTACTAATCACAGCTTACTTGATATAAAGCATTGCAAGTAGTTTTCAATATGAGTAAACACAATAAATAAACTGCTAGATGAGGATTCTTGACTGACAGTGTAAGTCAAAAAACATCACTTTTGTCACACAGCTGCAACCAGACCCCTGAGTTTTCTACTCTGATTTAACAAATGGTGAATGCCATAGTGTGTACTATTGAGTTATGGATGCACACAGGAGGTTGCTAAGTATGAAAGAAGCGTAAGAGTCGCACGAGGCAATAGCCAAGTGCGACTCTAGCTTCTTGAGTGCTTAGCAAACCTGCCAAGTGCATCCATAACTCAATAGTGCATGCTATGGCATTATAACATAACTTATTGAGCTACATCGCAAAAAAATGTTCGTGTAGTCTTACATGACAAGAGAAAACCAGTGCGCGAAAATTCATTCATAACAACCGACTGCACAACAGCAACTCAATAAAGTTTAATCATGCTTCCTGCAATACCGACCAAAATCCTCTTTATAAGGTCTGTATCCAACAACCGGTGAAAGAGTTCAGCAGAACTATGAAAAAACTGTGGTGTTTACCATTTGTTTTATAACATAACATTGATACATTGTAACAAGAGTTCCCTTTGAATTTAGAAATCTTATGTGATCAGAAAAAACAAGCGCACGCAGAAAAATAGTCTTAGCATTTGCTCACGCCAGCAGCATACACCCATGGGCAAATAGTAGATGCTGAATTAAACAATCAGAGTACACACTTTGCTTTAGTTATGTTATAAATTTGTGTAGAACTCATGGCTAATACCCCCAACAACCAAAACAACTTCTCAACAAGAAAAGAAATCAAGAAGTAGCAGCAGACATCTGATTTCCTTGTCAATTTACAGACTGAGGTGATTCATTATGTAACCAGGCAGTGCTTGAACTTGGATCCACTACTGCATGTGGGCATAAAGAAAGTTTGACGTGTTCCCTTGGATCCGCTACTGCAAGTGGGCATAAGGAAAGTTTGATGTGTTCCCTTGGATCCACTACTCCATGTGGGCATAAAAAAAGTTTGACGTGTTCCCTTGGATCCACTACTGCATGTGGGCGTAAAGAAAGTTTGATGTGTTCCCTTGGATCCACTACTCCATGTGGGCATAAAAAAAGTTTGATGTGTTCCCTAGGATCCACTACTGCATGTGGGCGGAAAGAAAGTTTGATGTGTTCCCTTATTAACCTTTTAACCCCTAAGAGTGATTAGCATCTAAATTCTCCTGACCATACCATTGCTGAATTAAGCAATACGATGATCATTAACATAAGAAGCTTGACAAATGTAAGCAAAACAGTATGGAGAATATGCCTCTAGCCATTTTTTTTTTCACTGTATTACCGCAGTAGGGTTGGACAAGAACAGAACACATGCGAACCATGCAAGTAGTCCACCCAATAAATCTCATCCATCCCACTCCAGGGTAAGACATCCATCACACAGTAATCTCGTGCGTGGGAAATTAACGTCTCCTACCCCTAACCCTGCAGAAGACAGAAGACGGAACCTCCATTTATTTGTCCCTATCCAAGAAGACTAGAATATCTAACCATTTCTTGATGTTATAGAGAGACAGGATATTCTTCTCAATTATTTTAAGACCTTGAGTGTAGGTCTGGCCAGGGCTCGAACCCTCGACCTCCCGCACAACAGTCCAGCCCTCTATCCATTGAGCTAACTGGGAGGTGGTTAGCATATTGATGTTGAGGTGGAAAGAGTTAAGTCTCTAATGTGTTACTATACAGCTACCATTTTACACTTACCAGGAGTTTTTGCTGCTTGATTGGCACTTATTTTAGCATGTATTCTTTTTAGCCTCATTTCTCTTTCACTTTCATTTTGCTTATAGAAGAAACAAAATTAAAAATACATGACATGTAGCTTTGTCATGAAAATATATGTGACCAAAACTCTTCCCTCATTTAACAGACCCACCACAGACCCACCACAGACCCACCACAGACCAGCCAAGACCCATAACTTGAGTATAATTCACACTCCTTTGAGACGTGTTCATCCCTGGGGGCAAATAATTACTTGAAATCAGAAGCTCAAAAGTGGTAATTAGCAGTGAACTCCCAGTTCTGAACAATTTCTCATTTGATCTCTACAGTACTGCTTCTGAGTTTTGGAATTCAAAGTTTTTTTTCAAAGAAGCACGCCCACCCACCTTGAGCAATAGCTTCGTCACAAAGAACGGTAGCATTTTATTATTTAATGATGGCCAACTCAGAGGCTATTGTCACCATGGAGGTGAAACCAGATTATAGAATTATATAGAGTCAGACAATTGGCCTGATGTCACATAGAATGGAATGTAACAACACAATACTTACCATGTACAGTTCCCTCCAGGTCTGCCCTGTTTTTGGTTTTGTTCCTTTGAATTCTCTGCTGCATTGCCTCTCCCAAAGTAGGTCAGTATCATCAATGAAGTACTGCAAGAAAAAAAAAATTATTCAAACTCTCAAACACCATCCCTAAGTCTCTTAATGTTACCTTCATTTCCCACTTCCAAGACATTCACTTGAGCCTGATAGACTCACATATTGAGTGCAAAACATATTCACAGCAAGAAGAACATTATTAAGCAGGAAAAAAGTAATCCTAAATGCATTCAAGAGCCCACAGATTCATCAAATCAGGTGTAATTCTGACAAATGAATTAAGGCTGATAGTTTCGAAAGAAACTGTTTGGGGCTGCGTCGGTGGGAGTAACGAAATAATTTGGATATATCAACAAAGTTGAAATGGTAAATTGGCCACCGTAACGATTACAAAAGCTGACGTTTCGAGCATTAGCCCTTCGTCATTCGCTCCGACGAAGGGCTAACGCTCGAAACGTCAGCTTTTGTAATCGTTACGGTGGCCAATTTACCATTTCAACTTTGTTGATATATCCAAAGTAATTCTGACAAACTTGTTGCTGCCATGGCAAGTTTTTGATAAGTAACATTGACTAAATAAACAGCAAAATGTTTTTACTTACAGGGTTACAATCTTCCAAATGCAAGAGTTGCTGAGGAGTGCACCTAAAAAAAGATTCCATAATATAGTAAATGGTTGGTGCCCACAAGTGTCAGTTGATTAAGTGTGTAGTCTGATCCTGGTAAGAGAGTAGGCCTGGGAAGAACTGTTTCTAGTAGCTGTAACTGATATTTTGAGAATCACAGCAGATGTTATCATCAGAGTTAAATGAGGAGCTTCAGTTGAGTGTTATAACACTTTCCCTACCTCCCTGGAAAGCTGATTAACTCACTCAGACATTTCATAAAAAATTCCAACAACTACTGCATCAAGCAAATGACTACAAGACAATGACATTCAGCAACCAACCAAGCAGAACAAACCTACTTTATTGACAGATTGAAGCTGACCAATCAAATATTTTTGCAACTTGGGCCTTAAAGCCAATAACATCATGTCAAACTTGACCATTCGGTTTTCCCAAACCAAGCTTATACCATCCAAATAATTACTGATCCCCATGAAATTCTATTGTTCTCTCTCTGCATTAAATCAACGATTGTAGTCTTTAAGATGACAAAACAACTGTATGAGGAAACAGAGGTGGTCCTTTTTGTTAGCAAGGATATTATCAGGGGTAAAATAATTAAACACGCTAAATAAGTATGCTGCAAAATCAAAAATATTGCAGTGTCCAGGCTGCAATATTAAAATATTGCAGTGTGCAGGTTACAATTATTAAAAATATGGCTACTTCCACTCCTCAAAGACTTTCAAAACCCATGCCCATTTCCACCAGCTGGCATCTGAAACCCAACTTTTGTCAAGTTTTTAGCATTCTGAAGCTGTAATTGGCATTCTAAATCTTTGCTCTATTTAAAAAAAGAAAATGGAAAAGCCGCCTTTAGAAGTCGATAAAGAATTAAAACACTGACAGAAATGTCCAAACGTTACACTACATTATCTTCGATTTCTGCTAAATTATCTGCCTTC